AAGCAAAATACTCCTGACACCATATAGAATAATGAGGGTGCACTAGTTGTTATAAACTATTTATTTATAATAACAGAATGTACAATACAGAGACCGGCAATACCAGCATTGTTCTATTTTCATATCAGTATCCCAAAGTGTTACCAATTACAAGTTAGTAAATATTAAGTGTTAAATGTTGCCATTTATTATATAAATAAATTATTAAATATTACAATAAAGAGGTAACATCTGACATTTCTTGCCTAAAAGGAAGTCAACAATGCTTGGCCATGGAAAGTTCTGTGGGGAGATGAGACTCATTTTTAGCAAAATTAACATTCACAGTTCTCGAATTTGAGCATCCAAATAAACCCCATGCAGTTCAGGAAATCTTCACAGCAGACTTCATCATTGCAGATTTTTTTTTTTTTTTTTTTTTAACATTACTTAACAGGATCCTTACCATTACCGTGCAAAGGTATCTTGATATGATCACTACACTGGTTATCATAAATTAATGAAAAATCACGATTACTGAAAAAGTTACATGTAGAATTTTATGAAACTTAGCCACAGTATACAACACATAGTAAGATATCAAATAACATAAAAAGAAATTACCAGACAATTATGGTAGTATAGAAATTAGCACATGTATAAAATGAACAAATCGAAGATGTCAGTTTGCTATAGTAAAAGTACCTTCAATATGGAATATAATCGCCTCTAGAAACAATACAGCACATTCAGCTATGTGTGATGCTTTCAATTATGCGGTCTATCAGTTCCACAGGAAGCAAGAGCCATTGCTCTTGCAAAGCAGTTAGTTGCAAGTGCGGCAAGGGTCTAAGGGGTGGATTGAGAGCAACTAGACGTCTCCCTAAAGCATCCCAAACGTGCTCAAAAGGATTCAAGTCCCGGGATCGAGCTGGCCACTCCATGCGTAAAATTGCTTCCTGTACAAGATAATCATATATGATGAGAGCCCTGTGGGCTCTTACATTGTCGTCCTGTAACAGGAAAGCATCACCTATTGCCCCGGCATATGGGTGCACATAAGCACCAAGGATGTCATCTCTATAAACATGAGCATTCACGGTTCTCCTTGGAAAAACATGGAGGTCTGTGCATCCACCCAAAGAGATGCCACCCCAAACACAGACACTACCTCTTCCGTATGCATCACTTTCATGGATGTTTGACGGATGATAACAGGTTCTAGGTTCTCTCCATATCAAATAACGCCTACTATCGCATTCTAGAATAAACCTGGACTCATCCGTAAAGAGAACAGCCCTCCATTGCTCAGGTGTCCAGTGGACATATTGTCGTGCCCACGCAAACGGTCCCTCTTATGGCGTGACGTGAGCGGCATGCAAATGGTTGTTCACCTCGCATACAGACCACCTTTGTGAAGCCTTCTATGCACAGTTGACATTGACACCAACCTTCCGGTGGCTGCAGCAAGGGAGGATCTAAGAAGAGTCGGAGCAGCGGTTCTATTACTGTGTGTCACATAATGTCAAATATCAATCGACATCATGTCAAATATCGGTCATCAGTGCTTGTCGTAGCAGTTGGCCGTCCTTGGCTGAACCTCCTAGGTGGCAAATCTGTGATTTGAAATTGCCTCCAAAGTCTATGAACCACTGAAGGACTCACATTTAGCCTTCTGGCCACTTCTGTTTGACTTTGTCCTGCCTCTAGTCTCCCAATGGCTTTCTATCGTAGTTCTGCAGGCAAATGATCCTGGAGCTCATTGTTACGAATTGGCCATCTCAGATTTCTGATGTCACTATCACAGTGAAATATGTGGGCTTTCTCTCAAACATAGACTTTTAGCTCCTCGCATTGACGTATTCCAAGTGCACGCCATAATTTGCATATTGGAGTTTTACTCAGCTACTCTTACTTGGCAACATATTCAAATTTTACACGGTTTGGCTTATTTTTGAGAGAGTTATTGCTATTTTTGTGATTTTTCCTTAATTTATTATAACCAGTGTAGTTTTGCCATTTCACACCTTCAACAGAGCCTGGATCAGGTACTTTTTGTGCAAGACGGAACACCACTACACACTGGTCTATTGGTACTGTGGTTCTTGTGCCGTCACTTTTTCCATTTAACATGCCTACCTTGCTCCCTGGATCTAACCATGTATGACTATAGGGTTATTTAAAGTCCAAGGTCTACCTTTGCAGGATTGACGACTTTAAAGGATAATATGTCACAGGCCATGCTGAGCATTCCTGACCACATGTTAAGTTCGGGCATCGAGAATGTAGAGGATGCAATGTGTGTTCTACAAGAAGGATACTTTTTATGCAAAGTGAAAGAAGGCTATGCCTTCACCAAGGAAGTGCTTTTATTCAATAAAGTGCTATAATGCACGGACATATTATCTTTATAGTCTTTTGAAGCAATTCTTTTGCTGCATTCAAATGATGTTGCAATAAAATTTCTTCTTTGTTAGTCAACTGTCTAACTCCCCCTATCAGCACCTTTCAGAACTAACTTTTTCCCCACAGATTCTTTTTTTCCCATATCATGATTAGTCTGTCTACCAAATTTGGTGGCATTACAGCTGATAGATAGAGCTACAGATGCCTCTGAGAAGTGTCAGTTAAAAAAAATTACCCAGTATAGTTATTACTTGCACAAATAGTGAATTACATATGCACGGTATTATTACCTTCACAGATATGAATATAATTATAGATACTAAACTAGTTAGTTTCACAGATAAACTCGATAATAGAATTTACAAAAGAACATTCTGTAAAATGCTTCAAAGTAGATGATCCCCCTTTTTTTACTGAGTTTATTATGTTAAACTAATATCCTTAAAATGTAATTTAAATCAATATAAACAGAATATTTTTATGTACATTGGATCATGCCTCTTGATATTAGAACACCATATACTTTAATCACAATTTATATTATGACAGGGTTCATAGCCACATTTTAGTTAAAAAAATAAGCACCTATAAGCACTTTTCAAGCACATTTTAAGAAAAAAAAATAAGCACCTGTCTAATTACATTATACACAGTGCACTTCATAACCTTAAAATTAGACTTGTAATTTAAAATATGAGAAATCAGTATTTATTAAGAGAGAATAAGCATTACCTCAACCATGGAAAATATTACTTTTTTTTTTAAATTTTAAATAACAGTTCAATTTACAGAACTAGTTTACAAGATGAAAGAAAAAAAAAAACTATGCAGAACTAAACTATATTACAGATTTAATGATGAAATTTCAGTTCAAAATAGAGAAAATAATAATAATAAGGCATATTTATTGTATTCACTTGGAACCAATAATAAATACAATTTATTTTTCCACTCATATTGATATTTAAATAATTTAAATCTAAATTCTGAACATTTTCTAAATTTTCATTGTATATCAGTTTCCTCTTAACAGATATTCCAAGCAAAGTAATTTAAGTAAAAAAGAGGGGACATTTCTGAAATCAGAAGACAGAAATTGCTTCATGCATTCATCCTTTAACAGTAAAAGTTAACTAAGCCGATACTTGGAAACGGCGAATATTCGGACAGTTCAAGCGACTTGAAAAAGAGGAGCGGAGGGGGTTAGACTGTAGCCCTCTTTAGATTTTTCCGCTAAATAAATGCTTTTGACATTTGATATGTGCATCATATAAAAAAAACCAATGGAACTGCAAAATATTCTGCTTAGCAAAGCACAGTAAAACACTTTAAGTGTTCATAAACAATCTCAACAGAACATGAAAATTAATTATCTCTGCAAAATATCGCAAACGTTATCGTCCCTATGTGATATTACACAATCGGAATCAACAGCTGCCGGTATTGGGAGAATAAAGAACTAAATAAGTGGGGTATTTTTCATTCTAATTTTCAACAGACGGCATTAAATTTCCGGAATCATTCTTCGCTTGGTGTGGTAGACGCAGAACTTTTAGTCCTATTCAATCCAGATTGGAAAGTGACAAAAAATAAGGGGGGGAGGTGCATTGCTTGTTTTGCAGCGAACTGTAACAGTTTCAATATTCAAGATTATGCGTAGAAAGGGGAGAACCTCCCAATCTTCGTACTGTATAATGTATTGGCCAAAAAATGAAATTATTTTGACTATTCGTTTACTTTCCCTTTATTTAAGCCATTCCGAATATTATTCCTTAGAAAGCTAATCTGTGTTAAAACACATTTTTGGAAGTTTACTATACTTCAGCAGTTACTGCAACTATGTATTATAAACATTCTACATATGCTCATAATATAAGCATAATGATCATAATAAACACGATATGAACTGACCCAAGCGAAACGAGAATGCAAATTATTAAGATCTTGATAGAAATTCAAACGTGTATAGTATTTGGGTAGGAGGAAAAGAATGCCGAATGTACCGGAATTTTTCTGCTTTCACAATTCTTTGACCAATATAACGACGGGCACCTTTCTGTACTCTTCGTGCACACCAAAGGTTATGTTAATGCAGCGAAAGGGGGAAAAGCTATTTCCGGGAGTATGATTCACCATCTGACATTCCATATTAGGAAGAAAAGTTGTTTATTTAGTATCGAAAAACAGCGCGTTCATTAAAAAAAAAAAAAAAGCAATAAAAGCAAAAAATAAGCACTTTAAAGAAAAAGGCTTAAAAGAAAAAGAAAGCACCGATAATGGCCTTTATATTTTATTTTCAAATATAAGGACTTATAAGCACTTATAAGGACTGCTAGCAACCCTGTATGATACAGATACTTACTATATTATGATTTGTGCATGGTTATGAAAAAGCATGAAGGAAAATACTAATAATAAAAATCAGCTTTATGACATATAATGAGCACCAGTTAACATTATTCTGCTAATCTTAAGCATTCTAATCTCATAAGCTTTAGTTGCAGATGTTAATTAAGATTTAACAGTATTCTAAAAGAAAAATCAGGTTCTTTAAATATCTGCTTTAATAAACACTGAAGAGATTACGGCTAGTGAAAAATGTTTTCAAATCTTACTATCAAATCTGTTGACAACAGAAAAGTCTTCTTTGCTGTAAACTTTACTAAGATTTTGTCTCTTCCGGTCATCACTAAGAACTTGCAAGTTCTGTTCTTGAGCTGAAGTTAGTGTATCTAAAGTGCTTAAAATATTAAGAGCTGCATGGGCTCTACTAACTGGAACACCAGCCTTGTAAGGAAGCATGAGTTCAGAATTCAGTATTCTTGGTAAAGATGGTTCAAAATCTTTGCTATAAAGTGAAGCACCAGCAGGTTCTTGAGAGGCAACGTTTGAAAAATTCTGAAGCTCTGTGACAATAACATTATACAAACTAATCCTTTGTGTCGATGGACAGAAGCTATAAAAACAGAAAACAAAAATAAGATCATTTGTTAGGATTCTACATTACATAGTAATTAATAAAGACAAGAACTTCATTATAACCTCACAATTATTCTGCAGCATCAGCAAAGCTAGACATCTTAATTACAATAATAAAGAGCTCCCTCCTCCCAAAAAAAAGAACAAAGCTTTATGGCAAAAATGTGAATACTAATTGTCAAAATAAACAAATTAAACTTCTAAAGATTATGAGTTTCTTGAAAATCACAAAAATTTTCAAGATGTGAACACTGAAAATGTATGAGTACAAAATTTCTTCATACATTGCAGGGGTTAATTTTACTATTAAATGGTTCTGTTTTGTAAACTGAAAAATTATAGACAACTTAAATCTTTACAAAAATAATTTGCTATGCACTAGAATGCTAGCTTTTTCTCTTTTTTTTGGGGGGGGGGGGGTGAATCAACATTTTATCTATTTACAAAATACAGCTAAAGAAATAAACAAGAAAAAAAAGTAACATATCAAATTTATTACTCGGAATTAACACCTAAAATTTATACATCGTTTTATTTTTTAGTATGAATTTCAAATTTGCTAATGAAAGGGGCACAAAATACCACCTAAAAGTCAAAACAAAATTATTCAAAATATATGAATTCTGACTCACAGTTTAAATTTCAGAATAAAGTATTCTTAAGAAATGCGAAAAAGGCAAAATAAAAATCCTGATTAAAAGAAACCATATAAATAATGAAATGCTCTAAACAGTTGTATCAATATTGTATGCTGGTGCAGGTTACTCTAATGTTGTAAGATGACTTACAGTTCATTACATAAATTACAGTTCATTTCATAATTCATCATAAACATGGAATTACTACTAAAGAGATCTATCTGGATCTCGAAGATTATTTCAGCAGCATTACCTTCTGTGCCAAAGTCTAAGATACTACAGAATTCTACAATGTCCAAGATACAGTGTGACAGTTCAGATATCTCTTCTGGTACAGGAGGATCTGGACAAATTGTTTAACACACACACGGATGGATTGTCCCCCCCCCTCCCAAAGTGTTTTCTGTGTTACAGTTCAGCTGATTTGAGCCTGTGAATGTCTAAAATGAACAGAGATCAACAGAATCAATTACTCTTTACATATGAGTTAATTAAATCTCTCTAATAATTCTTGAACAGTTCTGATATGGAAAAAAACACAGGTCTTGATACCAGTCAACAAATGCCATAAAAAGATACCATTACAAAGAAGGCATTTTGCTAATATGGTGAAACTTCACTGTCAACTATGCAACAGTTACAAAGTGTCACACATATTATTCAACAAACATTCCCACTGATTATTCTTCAAGCTGAATTTGGTTGACAATGTTAGTCAGAATTTATGCATTTTTCTATTTACTTGTTACACTTTTTAAAATAGTCTATTATTCTGTTCACAAAAATTTATTTTGTATACTTCCCTTAAATCCATCAACAAGTTTGATATTCATTTATTTGCTGTTCCCCCCCCCCGGAGTAGCAATGTATATTATTTTATTTTATTTCATAACAATGAATTAGATTATTATTATAACAATGGCATTAGCAAAAGTTCAGGCTTTTCAACAATTTAAAGTTTCTTAGCATGACTAATTACAAATTACACTGCATATACAGAAACAAAAGCATACATTCATAATGCTTTTACTAGTATTATTAAAGAATGATAAAATATTATTGTGATAATTATAAATTTCCATTTTAGAAACGGATTTTAGAGAAGTCTTTCCTCTAATGCGAACCAAAGTTAAATTTTGGAGTTTTAATGCTCAAGTTGGCAAATTTCTCTTACATCTAATAAAGTTATATAATACTTACCTCCATAAAACATTATAAATACTGTCAAGGCATATAGAACAATCTTTCAACTCCAACTGATCTTCAGAACTGAAACTGTTTTAAAGGGAGGGGATTAGTTTATGCTCCACATATATAGTCCAATTTTTTTTTATTTCTGTGATAATGAAATAAATATTACCTACGACAAGTACCATCAGCTTTGCTTATAACTAAACTTTTAAATGATGAAGATTGCTCCACAACATTTGGAATAATGCCTAAAATAAATTTTCATAATTAAATATATTTTCCAAAAAAGAAGAAGAAATTACAAATACCTTTTTAAGCACTGAAAGTACTTCTACAGATACAAAAGAACACAACAATTAAACCCTAAATACATTTAACATTAATTATTACATGAAAAATTAATTTTTGAATTTTTTAATTTAGTTAATATAAATTTTAAAATAGAAAATTTTCAACTTTTGAAATTATTTCTCAATTATGTTAAGAATTACAGTATGAATATAATAGTGACCATGTAAATTACACCAGTGTATTAAGTCATGAAGGTACATTTTAAAGATTTTAAACTTTACACATAGAGACAAAGCATAAATATGAATTTAAATTTAAGGTACATTAGTAAATATACAACTAAGGAAAATTTAAAACATAAAATTTATTTTGTATCTTTTTTTAAAACACAATGCTCTCATTATATGCACAAATAGCTTAAGTTATAGGCATAATATAAATATATATTTACTATTATGTTTGTAAAATATTTTTTAAAGCGAAAACAAAATTTATTTTTAGTTATTATGCCTGGGAAGATATGAACTTTGTATTAAATGAATTATTAAAAGATCACATTTCATTAATTCTTAAAAAATAATTGTTCACAATTTGACAAGCTGAAACAAAACCTTAAAAACAGTCTCCACAAAAATATTAGCAGGGAATTATAGGAAGAGTTGCAACTATAGCAAAATTATTAAAAATATCAAAAAACATTGGTTTCAATCAAGAAGGAAATTTTATTAATTATACTTAATATATTGCTACGTTTGCAATGGATTGAATGCATTCTGAGCCGAAACATGCTGTTTTTACATAAAAGTGATCATTATAACTCTTCTCAATATGACAGAGCAGTTACCACTTCAAACTACTAAAAACGTTAATGCAAAACGAATTTAAAAGACAATGCAAAGTAAATCTCAAAGTGAAACAAGCTCATACAGTGATCTGTATGAGACCTTAGTGCCTGGAATTTTAAATGCTGCCATATTTATCACTCATGGTTTAGAATGATTCTCACTTGCTCTCAGATTTTAAGAGCTGCTTGAAAGACCAGTGCTTCACCTTCATTGATGAAAGCAGTGAAGAAATGGGGTCAAAAGTAAAACACAAATTTTTATTTCAAAACTATAGTAGCACTGGCAAAAATGTATTCCAACACATAGTGAATGCACAGAAAAAAAATTAGCTTGATAGACCTGTACATTTCATTTTTAAGAAAAAATTAAATTACTTAATACTAATTAAAGCAACTATTTGCATTCATTTTCATTTAAGTGGCAGCAAAATATACCAACCCATCCTTGAATATGAAATGTTTAAAGCACTTAAAGAAAATACCTACCAATGCAAGTTTTACTGCAGACTATACTTGATTTGCTGAGGTTATGTGAATTAATGAGAGATTCATCGATTTTTACAAATGTTTGATCTCCAGATGCACCAACCCAAGTTGCTCGACGGCCATACTTAGTACCTATATTAGGAATGAGACCAGGTATTGAACACCAAGTCAAATCTTTGTTAAGTTCTGCTTTCTTCTTATCTTGGCAACTTTCATCCACTGATGAGTTTGGTGGAGAACGTCTCAGCTGACCTTTCTTTATGAGAATAAAATTTTAATTAAAATTACCAAAAAGAGTTCATTATAATACATTATCATACAGAGTTCTTATAAAAACTTACGGCATACTGAATTTGCTCAAATATTTTCAAATTTTTTAAATTATCATAAAAGCATGTGTGTATGTGACATAATAACTGATATTATTCAGCAATGCACAGCAGGAAAGAAAATGTTTGATTTATGGAGAAGAGAGAAATTATATCCTAAAACATGCAGGAGAGAGTTTTTCTTAAAGTTTTGATTCTAAATTTTACTAAAAAAATTTTAATTATATAATTAGGTACTAATTCTAAAATAAAATAAATTAAAATTTTGAAATAAATCATAAATAATAACAAATCTGTCCTGCAAAAATGCTCTGTTAATCCATATTTTTTCACCATTTATTAACTACATTATTGGAAGTCCTTTGTGCTTTTTGTCGCCAGTTGTCAAGTGTTTAAAACTATGAAACACTGGTTTCAACCTAGGTTCTATTTCTACAGGTTGATAAAACTGCTTGCATAAAGCTTTCATAGCTTTCCTAAAACATAATATAAACGTGAAGATCATCAGCAGGAAAACATTTCTACTTGGAAAACTTAATCCTTACCCTTAGTTGCTTGTGAAGGCATTTCTGTACATAATATCGCTTGCAGTAATTTCAGCAGTTATATGCTTTAATTAAATAATTTCAACAATTAAACTACTTTCCATTTTTTTCTCTTCACTGAAACTTTTTAAACGCTAACATTTTCTTGATCGAATTTTGAAATACTGCATTTGTATAGCATTTATTAATTAGATTTGAATAATTATTTATTTTTTTATTTGTTTTGAAAAATTTCAAATCATCAGAATGATTTCTAAATCAATAACAAAATTAACAGAAAAGTACTTCAAAGAAAAGGATAAAAAACACAACACAAAATAAATATCATGATTTAATAACAAACAGCATACTGTTCAGAAAGTTAAAAAGTACACTTTGCTAACTTTATTAAAAAATCTAAAATAAAGTGGTCATGGAGAAACAGAAAATTAATTGATCGTTAATTCTTCAGAAACATCAGCTCATATCAACTACTACTTATAAAGCCTTTCTCATACATATTTCTAGAATTCTTTCCAGAATTTTCCAGACAATATTGTAACATATTAAACATTTTCATTATGATACAATATTTATGTGCCTCCTTTAGTTTAATTTAAGTTTTAAAGTAATTTTTGTATGTTTCAAACAACAATTCAAATATACGTTTGCTCACATGTGAATCACTGATTAATCAGAAACCTTATTTAATAAGGGCTGTTTCAACAAAGCCATGAAAATTTCCTAACAAAGAAATTTATATCCTATGTTTTGCCTCATAGTTTTAAAATTGAGAGTTCAAAGATATAAAATTGTACCATCTGAAATTCCAGAAAGTCTGCAGGCATATTCATAGAAACATTATACTTCTGTTTCAAACTTTGATGTTCTTAAAAACTTTATAAAACAATAAAACAGACATCTGCAAAAAGGATGAAGTTTACCAACAGAAGTTTACATTGAGCTCTATACATTATCAAGAACACACTGAAAATTTTAATTACTCAAAAAAATGATTTTGAGAGAGATTTCCCCACATTTTCAGTTTGGTTATCCTACAACAATATTTAAGAAAGCAGTCCCCAAGATCCAGTCATTCTTATAAAGAAGTAGGGACAATATACGAAAGAAGTAGGGACAAGATTGCCTGTATTTAAAAAGAATATATTTATCGCCTCCAAGCTTGTTCTTCCATCATGGAGAAAACACAATAGCAATAGCTGATTTAGCTGATTGTGATAGCATTGCATCATCTTCTAAAGAATTAAACCACTATTATTCTCATGCTAAAAAGATAATTCTTTATCTGGAAACAGGTGCCACACTAACAACTAGAAATATTGAAAGACCTTTATATGTGTGGCGTTCTGACAGATACTTCAACTTCTATTCATGAGATGGCACCACGTGTAAAATCCAGTTCTTAATCGGAGCAGCAAAGCGACGTCATTACTCACTCAGACTTCTCGCAAAACAACTGTACGCGACGGTAGCATGAACTGTGTTCCGAGCTCTGTGTTGATCTCTGCAATGTAATTTAAATTGTAATTTAGTACTTAATATATTCTTTTGTTATAGGAGATTGTCTACTCTTATTTTCTTTAATTATATCATGCATTAAGCACACACGACCACCAAAAGTGGTGACCCGGATCGAACGTACCTACCAACATAAGAGTTGTATTGGGCAGCACACGGTTTCATCGGTTATTAGCAGAATTCCCTGACATTTTAAACCCATCCAAATCAGGGCAGCATACTCATCAGCCAGAAGTATATCATCACATTGAAACACATGGCCCACCTGTATTTTCCAAGCCTCGTCGTCTTTCTCCAGAGATGCTAAAAGCTGCTCGCAAAGAATTTGAATTCATGCTAGCACAGGGAACCATTCGCCCATCTAAAAGTCCATGGGCCAGTCCACTTCACATGGTTAAAAAGTCTAATAGTGACTGGCGGCCTTGTGGAGATTATCGTCGACTTAATGCCGTCACAGTCCCGGACAGATATCCAGTCCCACATATCCAAGACTGTACCCATCTTTTTCATGGAACAAACATATTTTCTACCCTCGATCTTGCCAGAGCATATCATCAGATCCCAGTGCATGCTGAAGATGTTCCCAAGACCGCAGTGACTACACCATTTGGTCTCTTTGAGAACCGCAATAGTAGTGCATGCAGATGAAGATGTGTACGAGGGCTATCCAGAAAGTAGATTACGTTTTGGAATAAAAAAATAAACAAAGTATAGGAAACAAATTTTATTATATACAGATGAAAGCCACACTCAAATACTACTTTTCTACATAGTCACCATACAAATTAAGGCATTTATCGTAGCGATGTACGAGCTTGGAAATTCCTTCGTCGAAAAATTCGGCCGCCTGCGCCTTCAACCACTTCGTTACCTCTTCTTGCCTTCCATCTTGCACAAAACTTGTGGTAACCAAGCTTTTCGCTGATGATTTCGTGCAACAAACTTCGCGAAATTTGTGGAAAACTCAAAGAAAGTTCCGTTATTGTGAAATTTCGATTTTCACGGACTTTAGCATCGACTTTTTCGAGAAGTTCGGCGGTCACTATGCTGGGTCTCCCACTTCGATCTTCGTCGTGAACATTGGTTCGGCCATTTTGAAATCTTATGACCCACTGACGCACTCCACCTTCAGTGATAATGTTGTCCCCATACACTTCACGAAGCTGCCGATAGATTTCTATCGGTTTACAGTTTTTTGCAGTCAGAAACCTTATTACTGAGCGCACCTCGCAGCTCGCGGGATTTTCAATTAACGCAGACATTTCAAACCGTCACAGTATCTGAACGGAGCACAGCACGAACCTCTCACTAGCACGGCTAGATGCAGACTGAGCTGCGCAACGCTCTGACCCCAAGATGGCCGCGCTAGCCCCGCCCCTAGTGGACACAGACGGAAACGTAATCTACTTCCTGGATGGCCCTCGTAAATCCATCCAAATGTGTACTTGGTCAACCCTCAGTTTCCTTTCTTGGATGTCTTATCACCCAGAATGGAGCCAAACCTTTACAGGAAAGAGTCAAAGCAATTAACGACCTACCTCAGCCCCAAACCATCTCTGAACTGAAGCGTTTTCTAGCAATGTTAAATTTCTACCGACGCTTTCTGCCAAATGCCGCAAATACACAAGCCTGCCTACATGAGTTTCTGAAGAATAGCAAAAAAAAAAAACGATCAACGAGCTGTCCCTTGGACTGAATCTGCATCTGCAGCATTCGTGCAATGCAAACACGATCTGGCAAATGCAGCCACACTTTCTTATCACTCACCTAGTGATCAGCTCTCTATAATGGTAGATGCATCTGACACGGCCATAGGAGCAGTGCTTCAAGCCCATACCACTAAAGGACTTTCCCCAATGGCATTCTTCTCCAGAAAACTTACTACTGCAGAAAGGAAATACAGCACATATGACAGGGAGCTACTTGCTGTGTACTGTGCTGTTAAATACTTCCGGCACAACTTGGAAGGACACGACTTCATCATTTTCACCGATCATCGACCATTAACCTTCGCTTTTAGAAAAAACTCTGACTCATGTTCTCCTCGTCAGCTTCGACATCTGGATTTTCATTCGCCCAGTTTAGTACAGATATCAGATATGTCTCTGGTACTGATAATTGTGTCGCTGATGCCTTGTCTCGGGTAAACAATATCAACCTCACTACCCCAGATTTCTCTGAAATTGCAAAAGCTCAATTGCATGATGAGGAACTCAAGAACCTAATCTCAAATCCACAAACCTCCCTTCAGTTACAACCGCTGCACATTGATCCAACGCTTAAAATTTACTGTGACATAGAGAACAATAGAATACGTCCCTATATTCCTGTCAATTTTAGACGTGAAGTGTTTAATGCCTTGCACAATTTGGCACATCCTGGAATCCGTGCCACCAAAAAGCTGATCGCAGACAGATTTGTCTGGCCAGCAATGAATCAAGACATCACAGAATGGACTCGTTCATGTATTAGATGTCAACGGTGTAAAGTATCCCGTCACACTCACAGCCCCATTCAACAATTTAACCTTCCAGCAAGACGCTTTGATCATGTGCACTTAGACTTGGTTGGCCCATTGCCTCCTTCAAATGGTTACACTTACCTCCTCACTTGTATTGATCGGTACACAAGATGGCCTGAAGCCATTCCTATTGAAAATATATCCGCTGAAAACTGTAGCTCGAGCATTCATCTCCCAGTGGCTTTCAAGATTTGGCATGCCTACCACCATCACTACTGACCAAGGCCGACAATTTCAATGTCACTTGTTCGCATCCCTCACCTCTCTTCTTGGCATTCGCCATATTCGCACAACACCATACCATCCATCTGGAAATGGGATGGTGGAACGCTTTCACCGATCTCTCAAACAAGGTCTGAAGTGCCACAGTAGCACACACTGGACAGAAGCCTTACCCCTAGTCTTGCTTGGTCTTCGCACAGCATTCAAAGAAGACATTGGTAGCACTTGTGCTGAAATGTTATATGGTGCAACCCTCCGTCTGCCAGGTGAATTCTTTCACCCAGAATCTACTCCAGTTATCGACCCTCCAACATTCCTTCAACGTTTACGTGAGACCATGAGCAATATCTCGCCAACCCCAGCATCTTCGCATAACCAGCCAAGCTATTTTGTACATCCTGCGCTTGAGACATCTTCGCACGTATTCGTGCGCAACGATGCAATTAAGCCAACTTTAACACCTTCATATGATGGTCCATTCAAAGTTGTCAAACGAACACCGAAACATTTCACCATCATCTGCAATGGCAAACAATCAGTGATTGGAATCGATCGTCTCAAACCAGCATTTCTAATGCAAGATCCAACAACTTCTCTCATCAACATCACTCCCGGAAGAAGAAAGCTTACATCCCGTTAAAGAGCAACCTAAAACTACCAGATCTGGAAGAAAGGTTAAATTTAACCCAAAGTACTTATAACGTACCGATGGTACTTGGGGGGGGGAGTACTGTGGCGTTCCGACAGATACTTCAACTTCTATTCATGAGATGGCGCCACGTGTGTAAAATCCAGTTCTTAATCGGAGCAGCAAAGCGACATCTTTACTCACTCAGACTTCTCGTCAAAACAAACTGTACGCGACGCTAGCATGAACTGTGTTCCGAGCTCTGTGTTGATCTCTGCAATGTAATTTAAATTGTAATTTAGTACTTAATATATTCTTTTGTTATAGGAGATCGTCTACTCTTATTTTCTTTAATTATATCATGCATTAAGCACACACGACCACCAAATATGGATTATATCCTTGAGATTCTAAATAATTATTATGAATGTAAATTATTCACATTAACTTGTCATAATGAAACCATTTTGTGTATTGTACACAGTCTAATTATACATAATAAATAACCAGCCCTAAACCTAGTATACTAAAAAAAAAATAATCTGAAAGCTTTCAGATTTTATATTATGTCCGAAGGGGTATTTTTTAGCGTTTCTGTATGCTACCTTTAATTATTAAATATCATGTTCTTCGCACTTAAACCATAAAATTCAATTCAACAGCAATATGACTTTACTGAACTTTACTGAAGTACTTGTATATAATTTACAGGAAGTGTCCTTATTTATAGGATGATGTATACAACTATGTAAAACAGCTAAAAATCTATTGATGAAAGCACACACAAAAACAATGAACTTCTATAAACAATATATATTTCGTATTTTTCAATGCATACTTTTCCACTCTTTTGATAAAAATGCATAGTATAACTGTAATAGATATCACTTTACTACAGACTGCAGGTCTGTTTATAATTTACATGAAATAGTTAAAAGAAGATGTGTGGAACCACATAAAAATGCTGATAATCTATTGGCGCAAAACACACATGAACTTAAAGCTTTTATTTATCACTATAAGCTTCAAACTAATAACATTATATAAATATCTCTTTTATTAAGCTGTTTAAAACACCTGTTTACTCCTCATAAGTCTGAACTGGATTCATGAGAGCTTTTTACCCAAACTGGAGTAATGCATATTTTTCATAATTTTAATTACCCAAAATCTAAAAAAGACATTTGTGCAATCTATAACTGTCAAACTTTTTAACACCCATTATATGATACAATGATTGAATTTACGCATTTAAACTGAGCATTTTGCTCCTGATGGAAGCAGAATGTGCAATTTTATTTTAAATTTGATTGTATATGTAATGTATGCATATTTATGATTAAGTAAAGCAAGTACACGACTATGCAATTTAACTATGCAATATATGCACATTAGATCATGTATAATATGACTGTGCAGTTTAATTACGGTGTGTGTGTGTGTGCCTGAATAATTTGAATATGTGATATATGATCATTATTTGATTATATATACCATAATTTCTGGAAGAAACGCCGCAGAGTTTACGTGTTTAAAACTTCAATTTTCAGCGGGTGCGCCGTTTCTACCCATGCAACGTTTAGATGCACTAAAAATAAAATATTTCCTATGATACTCATTGTATATAGTTGACATAACCTTGAATCATTGTCATTAGTTGATAACTCATTGTATTAGTTGAATAACCTTGTCATTGTACATAGTTTGGGTGGCCTTGTCATTGTACATAAAACTGGAACTGTTCCTACACAAAAGACCACTCAGTTGCTTTTTGTGATCTCAGTTTAGATGCACTAAAAATAAAATATTTCCTATGATACTCATTGTATATAGTTTGAATAACCTTGTCATTGTACATAGTTTGAATAACCTTGTCATTGTACGTAGTTTGAATAACCTTGTCATTGTACATAGTTTGGGTGGCCTTGTCATTGTACATAAAACTGGAACTGTTCCTACACAAAAGACCACTCAGTTGCTTTTTGTGAACGTTATTTTGTTTACATTCTTTCCCTTGAATGGACCTACATGCCTTATTCACCCTAAATAGGATCTCAGACAATAACATTCTTCCCCTTTTCAAATCAGCATTCTTATCAGTTTGAATAGGCTGCCATTCGATGAATCTTCCAGGACCCATCATCTCCCCACCCCTGCCTTTACGACTCCACCTGCCTCGCAATAACAAACTGTGACTTATTTTCCCTTCAGCATGAATCAATTTTTCTTGGCATTCTGCCAGATACAGATCCCGTCAGTTTGGGTACAAGTACTTGTTGGATAGTTTTTAAGTAAGAAGGGAGCGGAAAATTTTTGAAAATGTCACCTAAACGGCACAGAAGCTATACTGCTGGTTTTAAGCTTAATGTAAATTGGAGATAGAGCAGCAGCTTGAGAGTTTGAAGTGGACGAGAGATGTATTCGATGTTGGAGAACTGAAAAGAAGAACTTAAAAATATGCCACAACAGAAATGAGGCAAAATAAGTGTAAGGTGGCCGAATCTAGAGGATGACCTTGCAAACTGGATAAAGGAGCAACAAGGAAAGGGAATGGCAATTTCGACTGTAAAAATTTGCTTACAAGCAAAATTTATAACAAAACAAATGAACATAAATGATTTCAAAGGAGGGCCTTGCTGGTGAAGCAAATTTATGAAAAGAAAAAATATTTCTGTGCGTACTAGAACAACAGTTGGGCAACAATTACCAATGGACTGGCAGGATAAAGAGGCATCTTTTCTAAAATATGTGACAGATATTATTGACAAAAAAAAAAAAAAAATTTCTTCGGTCACAGATAATAAATATGGATGTTGATGAAACTGGTGCAAAAACTGTATCTGTGCTTATGACGGGGCATGAAAATATTGTCATTTACATGTGTGTTAGCTTGTGCCACAAACAGTGACAAGCTAAAGCCGATGATCATTTTTAAACGAAAAACTATTCCGAAAGGAGATTTTCCTAATGACATAATTATTTGTGCAAACGAGAACGTCTGGATGTGCGAAACAATCATGCACGAGTGCCTACAAAAAGTTTTTCAGTGTCGTAAGGAATCTTTTTTCCATCAAGGGTTATTGATAATAGATTCCATGCGTGCTCCTTTACTCGAATCTGTGAAAACCAGATGTCAAAAATTGTCTACGACCGTAGCAACAATTCCTGGTGTTTGACAAAAATCTTACAACCATTAGACTTGTCAGGTAATAAATCCTTGAAAGCTCAAGTCCGAAAGTGGTGGGAGTGTTGGATGAGTGAAGGATTGCATACATATATCAAAAGCACTAAAATGCGTAGAGCATCTTATGAAGAAGTTGCAAAGTGGGTAGGAAGTGCATGGAAATCGGTAAAAACATCGTCAATAATAGCAGGGTTCAAAGAAGCTGAAATTATATCCTTAGATAAAGAGACTGTAAACCAAGAGGATGAATGTGACAATCTGGAAGACTTAGACTTAGATCAGGATTTACTAAATCTTTTTAATTCAGATAGTGAAGAATCAGATTTTGATGGCTTCATATGATGTATAGGTTGCTGTAATTCCTTTTGTAAGTAAAATTTAAAATTTCCTTTTGTCATCCAAATTTAATATTTCGTTGTTGCAACATTTTTTTAATATAGTCTGAGTATTACAAAATAGGGACTTTCTTAGTGGGTAATATAAGTATATTCATGAACATAAATATATTTTCAACATTTCTTACCTTTAATTAATTTTTGAGTTATGGTTTCATTTCATGCATTTTTTTTTAACTGATATGTCATATATCAGAACACATGTTGAGATTTTGCATCTATATGGCCCACGATGATGCCACGCGCAATTTAATCTATTGTGGCGTTTATGCTGATACGGCATTTCTGGGTAATTTTAATTTTTTTCCCACCATTTTTCTCGAGTGCGGCGTTTACGCTGATGTGGCCTTTCTTCCAGAAATTACGGTAATATAATTATGACATATGATACAGATAATGCATAACATGACTGCATAATTTCATACTGAATTAATGAATTAATTTAATTCCAGAAGTAAGAGTAAATTTGACATTTCATTCCTAAGGGATGGAGACTTTGACATTTTTTAAATGAAATTAGTGAAACAAAGTTCAGTTCCACAAATTATAAATCACAGTTAAATATATTAAAAACAAATACTGATATCAGACATTATGATATATTTTTTTCAATCTCCCATTCAATGAACAAATATTATTTGTTACTTTTCTCAATTAAAAAAAAAAAAAAAAAAAAAGACAGACAACAGGATGTATAACTGCAATTTGTTTTTGCAGCAGATATAATAAAAATAAGTATATTCCCATTGATTACCAAATAATGAATACAACCTTATCTAAATTAAAAGCAAAAGTCAATCAATATATTCAGTCACAGTTAATAAACATATTTTTTTTTACCTGGTTGCTACCAAAAGTATATACTTGTCCCAATGAATTCAAAAGAACAGTGTGACAGCTGCCAGCGGCTATCTGAATTATAGTGGATGACTGAAGAGAAGATGGATACTTAAGTAATGTAGGAGTTCCTCTATATTACAGAAATGAAACAGATAAAATACAGTTAAACAACAATAATACAAATAATAAAAATTATTTTAAATATATAGTATTGTATTACTGATTTTAATTCATATAAATCAGAAATGATTGACTTTTAAAATAAAAATTATAAACTAACCTTATCATAAAATCCCCAAGACCTAACTGTCCATGCTGATTATTTCCAAAGGTATAGACATCACCATTTTGACATAATAGTACTGAAATGAAATTTAATACATTTAAAATAAGCTGAGAGTGAAAAAGGATTGCTAAAAAAATTTTTATAGTACTTTAACCATATTAAATACTAACTCTTATTTCTTAAGAAAGAAGACACCAATATTTTGAAAAGACAAACAAATTTATAGCATATATTGAACATCACATTAAGAACTATTAAAAGTTTGCTTTTTTATTTTCTTGTAAGCAGCAATGATAAAATATAAATTTCATGAAAAAAACTAACTTGAAAGGTATTTCACTGCAATTAATAATCTATTATTTACCAAATTACAATGCTTCTATAATATGAGTCACTCAAGATAATCTGATATTTATATATTCATTTCCTCTGCACTTTTTTACTCATGCCTCAGGTAACTATATGAAAATTTAATTTAAAAATTAAAATACAATGAAGTTATTGCCAATGATATATCAACTTGTTAATTTACCTCACCTGAATATATGTTGAATAAATAAAATTTTTTTTCTACAGTATAAGAACAATTTTTAAAATATACAAAATATATAATGATAAATAAGTCATTCAACTATAAAATTAATTCATGTTAATCGAATTAATATCATGCATTATCAATATATAACATTTCTAAAGTTATATATTGATAATGCATGATATTAATTCAATTAACATGAATTAATTTTATTAATTTTATAGTTGAATGATTTTTTCCTACCATTGTGATGTAAACCACAAGCTATCTGAACAACAGGGACTTCAGTTGGCATATGCATCCGAGCTGGAGATAAGGCAGTCAACTTTGTCGTCTCACGCTCCTGGTCACTACCAACAACATCATCTTAAAAGAATAAGTTGAATTTTTTTAAAGCAGAATAAATTTTAATAAAAACAAGCAAATTTATTTTTAAATCAAACAGTTCTATACAAGGTACTGAAAAAAAAATTTTTGAAAGGTTTCAGATTATGCCCAAAAGAGTATTTATTTTTTTAATGTTTTGTGTGCTACCTTTATTTATTAAACATCCCGTCCGCTCTTTGCACATTATCCATAAAATTCAACTCAACAGCAATATCACAAATTAATTTTAAAAGAGCTTATCTTTAGAATTTCTGATACACAGTTTCGTATGCTGGAGATAAAAAAATTTCTTTTTTTTCCCCGTACAACATTGTCATTGCTCCCTTTGAAATCATTGAGTTTGTTGATCAAAAATTTGTTAAAAGTCTTACAAAATTTGAACTAGATAAAAAAAACTCCAAAATCCAAATTTAGGCTTCCAGATACCCATATTCGAGTGGAGGACTATGTTATTCAAAATTTGATGTCTCTAGGTATTGTTGTTTTTTCACATACATTCATGTACATTCTTTATTGTTTAATTTCTTTAGATATAATGTAGGCAATATATTGTGGCAATATTTAAATATATTGTGGCAACAATTTTAAATGTGAAAAGCTGTTTATAGTGAACCAACGTAAAATGCCAAAATGAAATTAATAGCCCTTGTGGGCAAATTACCCCTTTGAGCTAAAACAAAATTTATAAAAAAAACACGAAAAATAAATATATCACAAAATAAATTTAAATCAAATATTTTAACTTAAGCACTTTTTTTTCAATTAGTATGATGCAGCTGAAAGTACAAAATACACAATAAGCAGGTGAGATGAATGTGCAAAGTAATTATGTAAACAGCATGTAGCAGACATGCTGATGGCCTTGTTGATACAAGTGAATTCAGAAAGAACTAACATCATCGTGTCTCTTTTATTCAAGAGGGGAGCAATGAAGGAAGACATAACTCAAATTAATGAATATTCATGGTGGATGAATGCAGGAGAATACATAGATAGACTTGGAAATTTATTAGAATGCATAATAGTACTGAAATAGTATGTTCAAAACTATTACTATAGAGTTTCTATTGCCATGTTCCTATGCCTATTCAAAATTCCATAAATATCTTGATATGATATCCCATGAGCAATGATCTGAGTGGTCATCTATATCCGAAGCCCAGTGGTGCAGTGGCTAGTGCATTATGCAGCAGCACCACAGGTCCGGGGTTCGATCTCTGGCCTGGGCAATGTTGACTCAGTTTTTCATCGCTTGACTGGGTCGGTAAAATGAGTACCAAGTTCACTTGGGGACTAAACTTTGGGGGTCCTGTGACAAACTGACCACTTGTCCAGGCATATGCTCATGCATGCCGGGGCCCATGGTCAAGAAAGCAGATTTCGGGGCACTGCAGGCCTTGACCCACTAGGACTGTTGCACCACTGAATTTAGTTTAGATCATCTATAGATCCAGCTTGCTTGATAATAAGCTGACTGCGTATGTGTTATGATTATGTTGAGAATTGCAAAGAACTGTAGACGTATTTTGTAACTCTGAGTGGCAACCACGCTGATCCAAGGTACTGTGCCTACATGAGCAGAACAATAGAGTGTTTGACGTTGCATTTCTGAGACAGAGATTGGAAGCTCCGCCAGCTAGCGAAAGTGGGGAGATTTTTCGGCAGCTGAGACAGATGTAACCATGGTCTCTGAACATGTCACCAACCAAGAAATCTATTGATATTTTTAAATGTGTTCAGATTAAAATTTATGTCTGTGTCTTCATATGTTCTGATAGTGATGTAAATAAAAGACTAATGCATCACTAATGCTATCATCCTTGTGTCTGGGATATTCACATCACAGAACTATTTAAACTTTCAGTAGAGTTTACATAGCCACACTACAGCAGTATCCAAAATATTAAAATGGAGCTTAAGATATGGAATGATATGCTATCAGTGACTTTTCCAGAGAACAATAAAGATTAGACAGTTTACTGTATATAATAGTCATGGCCTGCAATAAAACCTAGAATAAACATTGGGAATTAAATCTAATTTAATGACTATGCAATTTTATAATCCAGTCTCACTCATCTCAAGAAACAATCTGTGAACCCAGAAATAACTATTGCTAAATCATGTGTAGGGAAGCATGTAGCAGCTTAATTTAAGCTTTGGAAAAATATCCAGGTAACACTCATAAAAGGACCATAAGATACATAAAAATGTATGTCAGCAGAAGCTGTATAATCTTAAAATGCTGATTGCTAACTATCAGTTTGCAGTTGCCAATTTAATGCATTATAATGGGTTATGTTAAACTCGAGTCAATGCTAAGTCAGCATTATAAATGAGAGCCTTGTAAAGCATTCAGCTTTAACTATCAGTTTGCAGTTGCTAGCTTAATGCATTATAATGGGTTATGTTAAACTTGAGTCAGTGCTAAGTCAGCATCCTAAATGAGAGCCTTGTAAAGCATTCAGCCTTAACTATCAGTTTGCAGTTGCTAGCTTAATGCATTATAATGGGTTATGTTAAACTTGAGTCAGTGCTAAGTCAGCATCCTAAATGAGAGCCTTGTAAAGCATTCAGCCTACAGCCCAACTATTTCATAATATAATTCTTTTCTTCAGTACATTGAAAGCCCCAGAAAAAAACATCAGTTCTTCTCAGGTTACGGATAACACATAACACAGACTCCTTTAACACACTGAGTAACATCATATGAAAAAAAAGTTGCTATTTTTTGGTTCCTATTTTTTATTAAAATGTCACAAATGTTCCCTGATGTCATGTAATACACTTTAAAACATTATATTTATATCTGTTTTTAGACCGTAATTAATTTGTATTAATTCGGATAAAGGTTCATGTGGACGAAAAAATCTATTTTGTCCACCAAAGTTTCATTTATCACTGGGCAACCTAAAATCATTACTTAATTCAAATATACACAGAATTTTTTTTTTAAATACATATGACCAAATCAAAATGCATGTCACAGTATCCAAACTAATACAAGTGGCCCATCAATTGCTACAGAAATCAAGAAACAAGCAGTTGGTACAACACATTAGATGAACGAACGCAAACCAAGTACTATGAAGACACAAATGTCTCTCCTAGAAGCTTGTGAGAAATTATTACATGAAATAGATAAAAGCAAACCAATGAATTGTAACAAAGTCATGGTTAATCCCCTTGAATATACTGACATCAAATACTAGCTAGATATATACTATTTGAAAAAGAAAAACATTTCTGATGCAATATTAAAATCAAACACATTATGTATGTTATATGAACAATACCCTGAACCTGAATGAAATAAAGTATATACTGATGGCTCAAAAATACAAGACAACACTGGGTCTGGTGTATACACTAAACTTTTCTCATAATGTACTCTTGTGGGGACACTTCATGACAAATTTTGATGCAGAGATCCTTACAATCTCACTCACATTTTGGAAAACCTAGAGATAAAGATCGATTGTTTCTCTAAAGCAGTTATACTACTTAATTCCAAAGCAGCCATCCAGGCTGTAGTTATAAATCATGACACAGATACCCAGGTTATCACAGAAATAAGACAAATCTTGAACTTTCTTTATAAACACAACAAAAGAAACGTTTTTCAACGATCCCTTCTCATGTAGGTATCGGAGGTAATGAAAAGGTAGACTCACTAGCCAAGAGAGGAACACTTGTGCCACAAGACAGCAAACCACTTCCTCCCAAGTCACTTAAAAAGCATATTTTTGGGAAATTAATGGATACTCTTAAATTTGACCAAATAGCAAAATCAACAGGCAAATCCTGGGCTAACATTCAAGACACATGAAAAACGTTTTACCATAAACCCCGTAAAGAGGCTGTGGCAAACTTCAGACTGCAAACAGGTCACGATTGCATGGCACATCATTTTTGCATGGCATCATCATTTGCATGGCATCCTTCCAACTAGTATACCCCAAATTTGCAATTGGGGCATCATGAATGTTGAGCATCTCCTTATATACCCAGAACTAGATAAAAAGTATATTGGAATGCCAGAACTTTCATGAACTCCTTGTAAAGGATCTCTTATGTAGATCTCTTATGTTCCTTTCCTTGTTGTTTAAATTTTTAATTTTTGTTACTTTTGTTCCCATGTTCATTTAATCTGATTCTTACTTTATAAATGTTTGTTCTTTTTCATTTTTTATCATTGTTTTAGTATGATACTTAAGCAGGGTTTGTACAAATTTCTGTACATGGAAATTAAGTACTTTTAAGGACTTTGTTCTTTGACTTCTAAATTAATATTTGTTCAGCGTGTTATTGTATCTTTAGTAAATAGTAAGCAGATTTTATGTCAAGCAATAGGTTAAAATGAGAAGCAAAATCATAATCAGCATGATTCACAACAAAAGACTGGCTGTTGTCACTGCTGCTTCTTACCTAGAGAGAAACCTGCTGATCAGAACAAACCTGAAAGGCCTGATGTACGCACGGTTGACAAGTTCTGAAAGTTAGCTGGGCTCTGTCTGACGCCGTTAGTGCCGTAGCTTTGTGTAGAGTTCCAGGGGTTGTGACTCAGTTAATATACTTTAAGGTTCTAATAAGCCACTAAAGCACCAGAGGTGATAAGTTGTTTTGCATTTATTTTAAGTCTCACTAGATGTGAAGAATAAGTTTTACATGAATTTTTACATTTTTGTGTTTTATCTTGTGACTACGGTAAGGGTTAATGAAAGGCAATAACTCGTTTTAATATGGAGAGATAATTTTTAAGGGTGAGCAGCTAGTTATGAATAATTAAATTAGGTATAAGATAATCTTAGTCATTATGGATTTTCATGCCCACTATTAAATTTACTTATTAAAATCCCAATCTAAAAAAAATTTCACAATTTAAAATACATGTAATTTATGAAATTGATTCTTAAACAATATTCGGATAATTACACATTAAAAGCTACAAAACATGTATGTTTTTTAGCAACAATACT